TGGTGGAGTCTCCTTCTCTAGAGACCTTTCAAAACCTTCTCACGATAACTTGGATGAAACCTGCTTTGTTCTGCAGATCAAGCTTACTGAAAAGAACATTATTAGTTCATTATTTATTACCAGAGTACAAATTTATTATAGCAGTACCTGTATTAAATCTATAAAGCTGTCTCTTCTGTTATGAATGTGATTTTTTTTTTTTTTTTAAGGCAGCTAAGAATGGAGCAACGGGTGTTGAGCTGGATCTTGAATTTACTGCAGATGGTGTTCCCATTCTAATGCACGATGAAACAGTAGAAAGAACAACTGATGGGTCTGGAAGACTGTGTGACTTGACTTTTGATGAAATTAGGAGACTTAATCCATCCGCAAAACACAAGCGAGGGTAAGTGAGCTACTGCTATTCTGAAAGTACTGTTTCAACTGTGAAAACAAAAATCTTCATAAAATTATTGATTTGATCTACCACTGATGAAAATTTTTGTAAATTTAGAACTTGGAGTCCCATATGTTACTTCTCATTTGATTTTAGAAGCGTATAAGACTGTATCTCCTTACCCGTCCCTGCAATAGGACCAGTGAAGCAGAGTCAAGGTAATTGGCCTTCGAGGACAAAATCCACAGGCATCTAATGTGAAACTGGTTAATCTTTGCATAAGCTTCTCCTAAATTGACTGCAGGACCCTAAAGATACTGGGAGTTTCATATGTCAAAAATGGCTTGAGTAATTACTTCTAAAATTAATTTTATTCACATATATTTATTGACTGATTGTGTCTTGGAGGTTCTAAATGTCAGGATTATACTGTTGAGAAGGAACCAGACAGATTTCCTGGGTAGTCTTGGGTAGGAGCTGTGACCCCAGTGGCTGCTTAGGTCCTTTCCAGTGGTATGCAGGGGGAAATATTTTTATATTTTAATAAATTTTTGATAACAATGCAACTTCTTCATAAGAGAATCTGTTTTAGAGGAAGAACTGTTAGTGTGTTCCTTGTATTTCTGAGTTACTGCATTAGGGCTATTTCCAGGCCCTTGTAAATGTACCACCCATGAGTCTCTGGTGGAATTGTCATCTTCCCTGTCTTGTTACTGGAAAAGTGGTCACTGGAGCCAGTCGGGGAGAACTTCCACGTCGGCAGTTGCTGCTGATCTGCTGTCATTCTCGGGATGTCATGGTTTAACCCCAGCTGGCAACTGAGCACCACACAGCCGCTCGCTAGCTTCCTCCTCGTGGGATGGGGGAGAGAATTGGTAAAGTGAGAAAACTTATGGGTTGAGATAAAGACAGTTTAATAATTGAAATAAAATAATAGTAATTAAAAAAACCTGTAATTAAAGGGAAAATAACAAGAAGAGAGAGAAATAAACCCCAAGAAAGACAAGTGATACAAATGAAAGAAACCACTTCCTCACCACCAACCGACGGATGCCCAGCCAGTTCCTGGCCCCCTGGCCAGCTTTCCCCCCATCACACTATATGGTATGGAGCGTCTGTTTGGCCATTTGGGGTCAGCTGTCCTGGCTGTGTCCCCTCCCAGATTCTTGTGCCCCCACAACCTTCTCCGCAGGAGAAACTGAAGAGTCCTTGACTTAGTGTAAGCGCTACTTAGCAACAACTAAAACATCAGTGTGTTAGCAACACTGTTGTCATACTAAATCCAAACCACAGCGCTATACCAGCTACTAGGAAGAAAACTAACTATCCCAGCTGAAACCTGGACACAGAAATAACTTATTGATGTGTGAAGGAAGCTGCTGCTTCTACATCCTAAGGTTTTCTTGCTTATTCCGTCAGAATCTGTGTTTCTGGCTCAGGGCTAGGGAGCACAGTCCAAGCAGGGTGAAGTGGGTGTGTAGGTGGTCAGCAGTTGGGACTGAATGCTTGTTTGTGGGAATTGAGGAAGAAGGTGAAGAACTGAGGTTAGTGTTCTGGTGTGGGACACGGGGTCAGTGAGATTAGGATTAGACCTTGAATTTGGGAGGATTTAATTGTCTAGTGGAATTCTGGGGAAGAGGAGGTGTGCACATACCCTTCTGCATGTACAGCTTTTTACTGGGTGTAAAGCAGTAAGAACCAGTGCTGCCTGTGCTAGTGGTACTTGATCCTAGCTCTGATACTACTTTATCAGCACACTATGTTCAGGAATCCCCAGGAAACAGCTCTGTGTAGTTGGGGATGTGTATGTGCACTTGCGTATCTTGACTGCATTCCAGTGAGGAGCTCTCTGTTTCTACAGGAGCAAATTCCAGGGTGAAAAGGTACCAACTCTGAGAGAAGCTGTTGTGGAGTCTATGCATCACAATCTTATTATCTACTTTGATGTCAAAGGCCATGCAAATCAGGTACCACTTACTGTACTAAGGCACCTTCCTTCAGCCTTCCTTTGGCTTTCTAACCAGCTTTTTTCTTGGTCTACAGTCCCTTCTCTAATGTGAGTGAGACTGGGTCTGCTATTTGTGTTCTCCAACGTTGGGCTGCAAAGCAAAGACAGCATGTTCCTTCATCCCATGCCATTGTCCTGGGAAGCTGCAACTTAAAAAATTAGCGCTTGACTCGCGAGTGTCGAGTTCAGCCTGGCACCACCATGAAACAAAGGAAAGTGAATTTGCTGCCTGTGCTGAGGGGGAATGCTGGTATCTCATCTTCATCCTCTAACTAGGGATCCCGCTTGTCTATAATTTGCATTACTGAAGGGAGATATAGGTGATCAATAATGAACATTTTATGCAAATTAGAATAATTCTTTTCTTTAGTATAGCAAAATATGGAAATACATTGATTTTCCCTTTGAACTAAACCCTAGGCAGTACTTCAGAACTTTATCCACAGTACATTTAAGGGTGTCTCAAACACAGAGAATGCTACTCACGAAGATGCTTCGAGGGCTGGAGCACCTCTGCTATGGGGACAGGCTGAGAGAGTTGGGGGTGTTCAGCCTGGAGAAGAGAAGGCTCCGGGGAGACGTTATAGCACCTTCCAGTGCCTGAAAGGGGCTACAAGGAAGTTGGGGGGGACTTTTTACAAGGGCCTGTAGTGACAGGACAAGGGGTAACGGGTTTAAATTGAAAGTGGGGAGGGTTAGATTAGATATCAGGAAGAAGTTCTTCCCGGAGAGCGTGGGGAGGCACTGGGACAGGTTGCCCAGAGAAGCTGTGGATGGCCCCTCCCTGGAAGTGTCCAGAGTGAGGCTGGATGAGGCTTGGAGCAACCTGGTCTAGTGGAAGGTGTCCCTGCTCATGGCAGGGGGTTGGAACTGAATGGTCTTTAAGGTCTCTTCCAACCCAAACCATTCTGTGATTCTACTCACTGCTGTAAACAGAATCAAGAAAAGGACTTCTATTGCCAACAAAAACTGTGTTAATGTTACTGCGTTAATGGTGTAAACACGATGCTGTTTTTCTTCTCCCCTCTTTCCGTTTCAATCTTGTTACACGAAACAGGAAAGTATTTTTTTAAAGGGGATTATTTTAAAATATCTTTGAAGTGCAAAGTAAATATAAGTGTATGTGCAAATATAACGTGTGTATCTCTAATTGGCAGGCAGTTGATGCCCTAAAACAACTCTACCTGGAATTTCCGCGTTTGTATAACAACAGCGTAGTCTGTTCTTTCATGCCAGATGTTGTTTATAAGGTGATGTTTCCTAAAAGTTTGTTTTGGATTGTGTTAGTTCTGTCTGGGAATTTCAGTAAGATATACAACTCCCAGTTCCAGATTACTTTGGGTTAAAGGGTTGTTATAATTACCAGGATTTTAAACACAGATGAAGCATAAATCCTGTCTCCTGTGTACTCTTACTGGATCACTCTGGGCATTAGATACACGTATTCTCTCTACAGCCATTCCCTCCATTCTGAATGTTCCTTAGAAAAAAGCTCTTACAGTTGGCATATGGCCAAGTATCTATGTCCAAGGTACCAGTTAAATGAATCTCATATTTTGATGTAAATGTAGACTATTCTTAAAACTATTTCCTAATTCTTGTTGTCAAGTCCACTTACTATGTGGTTTATTCCCTTGCATGACTGTTCTGCAGGTTTTTTTTTAACATAGAGCAGTTGCTTATTCAGTATGTTCTAAGGAAAAAACAGTAAAATATAAACAGCTGTCTAAAAGAGTTACAAAAGTTGGCGGG